GTACAGGTGATGGGCTCCTAGAGACCCAGGAATTCAGTGCATGACCACCAAATATGAATTACTGAACTGATTTACATAGAGCTAAGTCTGAGAGCATGCAGAAGAGATCTACCTTGGCCACCTTGGGCCAGTGTAACTCCGCAGGGGCTTCAGCCCCACTCCTCTCCAGCTCGCTGGGCTGCAGCATGGGAAGGTGCCCTGTGCAAGGCAGCTGGGGTGGCTCCTCCATGAGCCTACAGCAGGTTAAACCTGCGAAAGGTTTCTTGTTCCCATGAGAAAGCATCAAATACTAACTCCGAGATGTGTCGTTGGTGCAAGGGCTGAGGCTGAGAGCCTTGACACCTCCATGTCCTACACGGGCTACATCTAATCTTTCCTACAGCCCGGTTTTTCCTCCACCTCTGTGTACACAGGAAAACAGCAAAGTTAGAGCTGAAGCTGTCCCTTTTAAAACTATGAAACACATGTTGAACCTCCAAAATGTCTGTAGCCACCACACTTGGGACACCCACAACCTATGAAGCTGAGGACCCAAACCCTTTGGCACCTCTCAGGACACAGCCCTGTCTGAAGCACCCACACCACCATCTCTGGGGCAGAAACCCATACCACGAGGAGCTCAGCTGTGGCTAACCAAGCCACAAACGGCAAATCCCCACGATGATTTGCAGAAGATGAAAAAGGACAAAAAAAAAATTAAATAATAATAAAAAAAAAGGCAAGGAATTCTCTCTGCCTTTTGTGGGGAGGAACGGATCCAGGTTAAGAAAACTCTGACCACGGAGACTGTCTGGGGAAAGGCATTCCACTGAACTGGTTAGGCAAGGGGCTGCGGGAGGACGGATTGCTCAGGGGCATGAAAGGAAGGTATGTACAGGGGGAGGGGGACAAGCTGCTCCATCACTCTGGACAGCACTCCTGCTCCTGCCGGCAAGGTCCCCAGAGCTCTGGACATGCTGCTGAGATGGTGGCAGGAGACTTCCAGACTCCGCAAACCCCTTAAAGAACACTTCTATCGGGATGCTGCCTGTTGAAGTCCTAAGCCCAAAGCAGTTTTGTTTGGGTCCAGACTAACATCTCTTAGCATTGGTGAGCAGTTTAAAAGATTTCTGAGGGATGGTGAATGAGAGCAATTTTGCAGCTGGTACAGCAGGCTGAGAGCGTGCAGCGAGGGCTCCAGGGCAACGGAGGGGTTATCACACCACCACACACTTGTTCCTAGAGAGAGGTCCCCAGACCCCTCCTCCCCATAGCTCCAGGGCATTTAATCAGTCAGGAAAAAAAAGACAACAACAACAAAAAAACATATAACATCACCTGGTTTCTAGCACTGCAGGATACAGCCTTTGAGACCAGCATGTCTCTTGAACGCAGGGAGCTGGCCACCACCCCACCACAGACCCCACAGTTGCAGGCTGCATCCTGGAAGGGGGTAGGGACAACCTTCTTCAGTGAAGCCTAATGAATGGCAGGTGGCCCACAAGGAGTCACAGTCAACTTACCTTCCTGGCCATCCGCAGCTCCTTCCCACGCCAAGGCCATGGCAGACACTATACGTTCTCCACACCCACAGGGACCACCAGCCCCTCACTCCGGCCGCGCAAAAAGGCAGATCTCTGCTGGGATTTCCCAGTCTGTCTGTGGTTAACACCACAGGAGGCGGAGGGGCACAGCCAGCAGCCTCACAAATGGGCCACCCAGGACATTGTGAAAGAGGCAGTCACAAGGCATATGGTCAGGGAAGGCTGATGACTGTCTAATATTACACCAGACCCACAAACCCTCTTCCCATCCTCTCCAGCTCTTTTCATCCCAAGGTAGTGCTGATCACCAGTTTCTCTGGTGATTTTCCCTTTTCTTATATGGGACACAGGAAGAATATTTCTGCCTTAAAAACAAGAGCGTGAGAACTGCAAGGTCTTGGCTCAGCAAAAGACAGAGCTGTAGCTCAGATGAGAGGGGTTTCTTTGTCACCCAAACTTCTTCAGCTCTCTCCCCAGACAGCTGCATTTTCAAGGCAACAAACACAACTGATGGGTGCTGAGCAAGGCAGGACTCATGCCCATTTTCCAGCACACCAGTGGGACAGTTCCTTCAGGCACTGCTCTGAACACAGTAGCTTCTTCCCCACTGCCAGCTCTGTTATGAACAAGCAACTGCACCCCCCCCCCCCAAAAAAAAAAAATAATCAAATAATAAAAAAAAATGCGCATCTCTCACCAACACAACTCTTGGGATCAAGAATGAGCATCTTTTAAGGCTGAAAGTTTCACTTTTCAGCCATAAGTTGCAACAAGGTGCAGAGCTTATTTTAAAAGCTGATTAGGGTTGCCTTAAAGTCCACATAAGGACAATTGCTTTAAATAAGCCAGTCTTAATTGCTTTGCACCCATTTAAATCTCACACAGTGGTACACTTCGGAGAAGAGCCAGCCTTGCTCTTCTAAGAGAAATATAACAATAAAAAGCACTCTGCCTTGATCTCACTGTTCATCTCCCAGGGCCCCTCCGTCTCTGCCGCATTCCTTTGTGTTTATCTGCCCTCTTCAACTCTGGGCTGCAATCAGCTGCGTGTGGCACCTCGTGTCTCGAAGTGACATGGCTGAGGTTACGGGAGAGACAGGTGCAAAGGGGAGCTCTTGCCCCGAAGCTATCCAAAGGAAAAGAGGAGCTGGAGGGGAAGAGGGTTGTAAGGTATTTCAGATTAAAGCCGCCAAACAGCAAACACCTTGCCCCAGGCTACACATTCTCTGCCAACGCGGCTGCGAGCCCCAGGAACAGCAAAGCAAACATGGGCTTCTCTGCGAGGGGGAGTTGTCACCTGTCAGGGATGTTTGCAAATTTATAGGGAGGTGGTGGTGGTGGCGGCAAGGGGAGTAAAAAGAGCTTTCCTCATTTTAAAAGACAGGCTGTTTGCACAGGTTTGCGACGCATATTTTGCTTTGTAAAGGCTTTTGTGCAGCATTCAACTGAGCGAAGGTGCTGTCTTCCACTGAAGACTAACTGGAACATTTATTAATGTACATACATTAATGTACTCTGAGTCGCTGCCTTACGGTAAGGGTGAGGATGGGATGGAATTCCCCCGCTCCCCCTTTGGCTTGTCATGTCAGTGAAAAACACTTCTTTAAGAAGTCACTGTGCAGCTCGACCTCTCCAGAAACGCCTTCTGCAAGGCTGGGATCAAACCCATCGTAAGCAAGAGGCCATCACATAGCAAAAGGTGCCTGTCCTCCTCTCCTAGCCTCAGTGCTCACTTCAGCGGTGCTCAGAGAGGACAAGAGGATGGGATTTTCCATTCATGTTTCACTGCATCACAGATGGGAGAGGGGGACTCTGAACAAGGACTTGGAGCAAGCCTGTCAGCTACCAGTGCTCTGCAGACAGCGCAGAGGAACTGGAGATGGGGCAGCTTTGCTAGCACTTGATGAAGCAAGTCAACATCTGAGCATGGAAAGAGCAAAGGTTTTGCTGGTGACCTTTAAACTGTTAGGGTTTGTTTTTTTTGTTTTTTGGGGTTTTTTTTAAGAGGACACAGTTCAAACAGAACATTACCACCTGTTTTGAAAATTAAGAGCCCCTCTAAACATGGAGAATCTCTTGGACTAGCGATTGAGGAGAGACCGAGCTGCGCTACAGTGTTGGAAAAAGCTGACAAGTGGCCTTTCAGATCCAGATGCTGATTGAAGGCTTGCACACCACCCCCCTGCACCCAACCTGGATGCAGAATCAAAAGATAAGCAGACATGACATCAGTCACCTCTCCTTGTGCACTTGGAGTAGCTTCACATTAGCCAAGCACATACCCAACCTCAAAGTGGCCTTTTTACCCTTCACAATCTTACAAGGAGAGAGGAGAGCACTGCAATCTCCCCACCAGTCAGACCAGAGAGGTAGTAACAGGTCAACCTTCTGCAATCAACGTGACCTGGGAGCAATTTCCTTCCAGATGTGATCCTCCAGGTTACAAACACTGTCAGGGTCCAGACTGCCAACATGCCATGGTTAAGCACATTAAAAATGGTGGTTGATTAACCAGGGAATTAACTGACACAGTTTCTCAGGATGGAAATGCAGAGGAACAAGACGATTTACAGGCACCAACACAAATTTCAAACCACACATGATTTTTAGCCCGAAGTATAGAAACCCCAGGAAGAACAGAAACAGGACCTTAACAGCCTGAACTCCTGAAATACCTCTTGCTCCAACCTGCAAGAATAGCACCTGGCTTCTTCACCAGAGCTATTGCTAAGAACAAGCTAGTCAGTTTGTGCCAAAGGCAATGAACCAGCAACCACCAGTGTGCCTCATCTGCATTCCAGTCTCAAGCCATACTGGTGAGACACCTACGGCCAAGACTTGTTACAAACACTATCTAGCTTTGCCTATCTGGAGACACAGGAGGAAAAAACCCAACCATGGTCTGAAACTAAGTTTTCATTCATATCTGACCTTCAAGAGAAGCAAAAACGGTAAAGAGCCCCTACCCTTGGTCAGCAAAATTGCAACTGTGCCCAGAATACCCAACTATTTTCACCCTTAGGCCACACAAACTAGCTCTAAGCAGGGAGAGAGAAGGGATGGTTGAGCAGCTAGGCAAATGCAAGAGACTTTTCAGCAATTCTGCCTGTTCATCTGCCTCATCCCTCTCTCCTGCCACTGCTGCAGAGGGAGAAGAGGAGCAGGTAAGGAGCCAGCCTGCTCCCCCTCGTAGCCCCAGGGAGGCACAGAGGAGTGATGCCTTTCCACAGGTCACACACCGTCCAGTTTAGCCACACTGCTGTTCACCACCACAGTCACTTGGCAGAGCCATGCTCCCAACCAACTTCTGTGGGGGTGACACAACAGGCAAGGTGAGAAGGAACTTCCTCAGTCAGAGCCATCAGCCACAAAGCCTCCACCAGGAGGGGAAGATGGCCCCAGGGCAGTGCAGCAAGAATAGCTCCTGCAAGAACTCATCTGTCCCCAAAAGTTAAGGAAGTTCTTTGCACTACTCACCCACATTGGGTCATTCAGCTCCGTATCCTGCACTCGGACACAGTCCATGCTGATCTCTATTTTGTTTGTAGAGCCATTTTCAGATGGGCCATCGATGAAGTTCAGATCGATTGGCTGAACCGAGCATATTGGCCTGAAAAGAACAGAGTAATGCAGTTAAAATTGGCCAAATTCCATTTTCCTCCCCACCCCGCATGCTAGAATGTCACCCAGGACTACAAACCAGTCTCAGGACAAAGTAAGCAATTACTAATTAATAACTACCTCATCGCCCGCTATGCTAACAGCAGCCCCTGAACAGGACAGGGCCTGGAGGGACATTTCACTTGTCTGACCAAATAAATGAGGTTAAAATCACAAAGACGGAACACATGGGGAATCTACAGCAGTAACTGTCTCAACATCATTCATGGGAATCAGTTTTATTTCCTTCAACAGCCCTGACTGGTGAACTCTGCACCATCTACACCTTCTCTCCTTCCCTGGCATCAGGAAAGGAGGAAAACATGCAGCCTGGACAGAGTAATGACCCCATTTCCTTAAGGGAAAACCTCAGGCATCCACCTTAACCGACCATGTGCTGGAAAGCGGTCAGCTCAGCAACCAAAGATCTTGAAGAGAGTCAGCATCACTGGTCATGTCTGCATCTGTTCCCCATCACCTGGATGAAGAACTTCTTGAGAGCTCAAGAGCTTTCAGTCATCACAGACTCACGCCCCCATCTTCTAATCAACAAGTACAAAAGACTCCAAAACCCCTAACATCAGTCCCCTGAGCAACCTAATTACAGAGGCATCCTGTCCCAAAATACCTTCTTCCACAGGCTCTATGTAAGGTCTACTTACTGTTCCAGGAAGTCCCAGATATGCTGGAGCACCTCTGGGCTGAGGAATTCCCTGGGCTGTGAGCTCTGGGACATGGCTGATCGGTAGTAACTCTCCTTCCAGGAGAAGTGGCTCGGAGTTTCTACAAACCTTAAAAAACAAAAGCAAAAAGAAAAAGCAAAAAAAAGAAAAGAAAAGAAAAGAACAGAACACACACACAGAAAGATATGTTGAATGCATGAGCCCAACTCGATGAAAACCCATAAATAGAAGCTATTGTGTGAAAAAGGAGACACGCTGAATGCCTGGAACATTCACAGCTGTACAACACACATTCCACACTGCTGCAGATGCTGTATTTAGACAGTAGAGGATTTGGCCACCCTTCCCAATAAGTTAAATATCCCTCAGAGTCCACAGGGATGCTGCATCATAAGAATCTCAGAGGAAAACAAACAAACCAACCCCCCACACCTTCCATTTTACCCCCAAATAATTAACTTCCCAAATAAAGCAGGTAGGCGCTTCACCTGCTACAAAGACTAAGTGGCATGCGATCCATTCTCCCTGGCTGGTTGCCTCTCTAGATTGCATGCCCAGGGATGATTCAGGTGATTTCTCCTACACCCAGCCACTGCAGCTGAGGTCTTGAACTACAAGAAGTATTTCTTTTTTAAAAAAAATTTGAACAATAATAAAGAAATTTTTTTTTCTTGATTTTCTATGGAAATAAGTTCCACCACATCAGATTATATCTACTTGTCTACTGTCTTCTCACCTCCAATAATTTCTGAGCCCGACCGGTTGATTTCCACCAAATCTGCTAATTACCTTGGCCATTTTTATCCCCTTAAGCTCCCATAAGCCTCACAGAAATAGGTGGGCCCAAGAGGAGCAGTGACGAAGCCGGAGCACTCGCGCCTTCCACAGCTGCACATTCTCATCCCACTGGCCAATTTCTAAATTCAAATACAGCAGCTTTTACGCCCGTGTCAAAATACTCAGTGGCTGCAGGGATGTAAGGGGGAGCAGGAAGAACTTCTCCAGTATAATTGCAGTTGGCAAAAACTCTCAGTTCAACTTAGAGTGTAAGGCAGGTGACCATCTTTCCTGCTACAAGGACAGAGGGACCCTGCAAAATTGTCATATAAAAGAGTTGTTTTGGCACAATGAAGGGCTGTGCTCCCTGCCAGGGGAACAGCTGTGGCAGAAGCCAGGGCTACAAACAGATTCCAAAGAGAACTGTACTAACATTTGGTTTGGCACATTTTGGTGCTGTTCAACACAACGATCTAAACAAATTCTATGGAAGACCCTAATTTATTAAGCTGCCAAAATTAAGGAGTGTTTCAGAGGGAGGATCACAGTGCAGTTGTTCTTTTCCTCTACTTTTTCTTGAAGCATCTATTTCTGGCTGCTGTCAGAGAGGGATCTAGCGCTCTCTACTTGAAGCTGCTTACGTTTTGAGGATGACTCTGGTCTACAAAAAGCAGGGCTTTCCTCACTTCTGCTGACCACAGAACTGCATGCTCTTTGAAAAGAGCAGACAGTTTTCCTAAGCTAATGGAAGTCAAAGTGGGTTCGGCCCCGAGATCCATAGCTAAGCACGCCTCAGGACAGGTGAAAGTATCATTTCAGTTGCTCATCCTTTTTGTGATTAACAAAAAAAAAACCACCCAAGATCCCTTAAATGTTCACGAACAACCAGAGACAAAAATAAAATTCAGAAGTATCACATCTAATACCTCCGTCTCACAGATGTGAGCACATACCCACACTACATGTGGATAAATAATCACAGGTCCTCTGAGAATAGCAGTTATCCCACAAAATACCAGAAATTGCTCCTTTCAAGCTTTCAGTCTGGTAAGGCACTTTCAAGAGCTCTGCATTGAAACCCAGAGAACAGGTCTGGCCTAAAGCCTGCTATATAACCTGGGAACCAATGCTACCATGGGATCTGGAGGAGAACAACGGCGAGTGCATGCTCCTCAGCCCACTCTGCCACTAAACCCACAGACCCCAGGCACTGCTCAATACCCTGCACCCAGTCCTGACCTCCCAGGAATGGGTAGAGAAACCCCACAATGGGTTCTTGCAAACCACTGAAGTGCTCTGTCTTAACAGTTATTTGCCACTTACCACAACTGCCCTTGACTTCAACACTAAAACCCACTTTTTAGGAATTTGGTGCAAAGGTAGTGACAACCATCCACACCAGCTCATTACTACATACACAGGCACTAACTTCACCAAAAAGAGTTATTACAAAACAGACCTTCCTCAGAGACCTTCTTTCTTTCAAAAAGTCTCATCGCAATGAGGTTTCTGCATGCCATGACATGCCCCTGCCTGCTCTGGCCCTTGCGGTCCCATTCAGCAGCAAAGCAGAAGTTTCTTCTCATGCACCAAACGGTCTTCACAGTTCCTACAGCCTGCAGCGCAGGAGAGGAAGGAGATATTAGCTGCACGGACTGATAAAGCCAGGTTTGTTATCATATGCCTCTGAAGCTAACAGAGCTATTGGAAAGAGTCACACAAGTTTAGGACACAACTGATACATCCCTGTATTAAACACACACCTCCAAATTTCTCCAGACAGAATGTGTCATCTTTATCCCTGTACTCAACCAAGCTCCTGGCCTAGAGTTTCAAAGAAAAGCATTATCAGATTTTAGCTGATGGCCAAAAAGGCACATTTCCCTATATCAAGCAAAAGAAGTTCCCTGGTTAGTGCTTCCACAAAAGCAAGGTTTGAGGGACTCCTTCAACACCTTCACTACCTGTACAACTCTATTTCCAAAGGAAGCTGCAGGATTAGGTGGCCAACCTTGGCAAGGCACCTGTGAGAAAGCTACAGCATTACAGAGGTGGCGAGCATTGCTTTTTACTCAGTTTGGTGCACCCTGTTCTCAGCTGGGAAAGAACCGTCAAGCTGCAAGAATACCAACTTTAGTTCAGCACAAAGCTGCACGCAGGCTAAATGGTCTCCTTCCCTGTGATCTTAATAAAGCCTAAACCTAGTGCCATTTTCCTTAACAAACAGCCTTCAACATAGAGGAGCAGCCTCTGTCTACAAAACAGCATACCTAAATGTCCAAATTTGCTCTTCCACAAGAAGATAACAGCTAAAGCTTAAGCAAGAGTTACACACAAATTTTATTAATCTAGTTAATTTTTTTTTTTCCCATATCAACAAACACTCTAGCTTCAGTAAAATAATGCCCAAGTACCTAAATTTAATCACAAGATATCAGGGTCAAATTGCTCCTAATTTTTATTGATAGACATTTAAAACCCATCCTTTTTACCCACAGCCACTCATCCCAACATGCATGGTAAGAGATAACACTACCAAATACAGCCTGTTAGACTAAACCACTGACTATAGCAGGATAAAGCATAGCAATAATTCTTGTCTAGCGTGTCCTCTGCCTTAAGCCTACAAGCTATATGCTTAATTCTGTGCATTAACTGCTGAAATAGTTGGCAGGCAGATTACCACAAGCATCGGAGAGCACTAACTGCACCAGGTTGGAACTACAGAGGGATTTATAGCCCACATCAAACTGTAAGCTGAATAGGACATCACACCCACAAGTCCTCTCCTTTAAAAACCACCAGCAGATTATTAACCAACAGAAATAGCAAGGCAAATCTTCTCTAAGAAGCAGGACCTCACCAAGAGCACAGGGTTTCCTGGCACAGTGCTAGGACACTGCTTCTGCACCACTAAATCCCAGGACAGGTTTCAGCCAGCAATGCACTCCCACTGAGGCCCAGCTCAGCTCCATCCTATTTATTTTGCTGAAGCAAGAGCAGCCCAGACTCCAGGTGAAAGCATTTTTCAGATTCACTCCTTGGGCTGAAGCCTTGTGCGTGCTGATTGTGTTGCTGCCTCCTGACCATTTCCCCAGAAGAGCGGAGTTACAGCCCACCAGAGCGGGACTGAGTCCCAGCTGATTCAGTTTGCCATCACACTGATCAGTGAGATCTCTGCAAAACGTGGCAATGAGACCAGCATGCCTCTGTCGCTGTGCCCCCACAGCAATCCATCTCAGAGTCTCCCAGAAGGCTGGGAATGTTAAACTTCACCCAAAAAAACCCAAATCCCACCCAACTAAGAACCAAACAACCACCCCTGACAAGGACAGCATTTGCCTTTCACAAGCCTTAGCCCATCTGCACTACTATTGCCTTTCCCTGGAGCCGAGGCTCTCAACACAGGTGGAAACAAAGCCCTGATGGCTTGGCCCAGCACAACATAAAAAACCAGAGGGAAAACGAGATGTTTCTGCTCCCACTACCTCACTCCAAGCACATGCTTTCCACTCTTCACTATGTTTCCATCTTTTCTACCTTCACGTCAAAGACCATAAAGAAAAGCAACAAAATGAAAAAACCCCAAACCACTTTCCACACCAGAAGACAATGACAGAAAACTATTAAACTCAACTATTGCAACGCAGGAACATTTCTCACCCAAAAACCCACCTTTCTCTGCAAACAACCTGCCTTAGAAAGGGCTAAATCCAAAACACCAAGTCTGACTTACCACTGGGGAAAAGGCACGAGCTCCTGAGGAAAGCAAGACCCAGGTTTGATAGGAAGCAGGCACAGCCCCTCCTCTGTGGCTTTAACCTTAAAGGCAGATGCCACCTACTTTCATTGATACAGGGTCAGACCTGATGCAGAGTGCAGCTCTGTGGTGCATGTGTGAGTCCAGCAACTTCCTTCCAAAACCAAGACACACTGTCACAACCAAGAGACGGTATGGTTTGCTTTGGTTTTTCATCCAAAATAGGCTTGGAGCTTCAACACTCTGAACTAGCCCTGGGTTAATAACAGAGTTTATGGAGAAACCAGAAATGAATAAGGTATCTCAGTGAAGCTCCTGGGTTGGGTTTCAAGAGATCCAAACACCCCCAGTTCTCCTTAGCTTCCCTCGGAAGCTGGAGCTCTGGGGTAGTTTGTATTTCTCCCACACAGTGTGCAAACTCTCAGAAACTATCAGTGTGTGCCGAACTTCATGGCTCGATAATAGTGTAAAGCCACAGTATAAAACCTTGTGAGAAGAAATCTTTCACAGTAGGGATGAGCAAAATGATTTGGAGCTTTTTTCTGCCTGTCGCCAAAGTTATAGGATGTTG